CCCTCTCTCTCTCTCTCTCTCTCTCTCTCTCTCTCTCTCTCACACACACACACACACACACACACACACACAGAGCCAGCCCTTCCCCTCGTGCGTAAGGGGATGAACCCGCTGACAAATTCGTCCCCAGACTTCGACAGAAGACGGCGTAAGGGTTGAGCATCAACGCGCGGCAAAGATAGAGCTACGAGAAGAAATGACAAACGGGACGGGAAAAGGGTACATGAGAGGAAGGCCGGACGATGGCAGGAGTGCAGGAGGGAAATCTGAGCCCACGTATCTGTCTACGACGACGACGATTCAGGACGGCAAGAGGGGTGATGTGGCAGATGCCTCCATGTATGGATTCGTCGAGTCGTCCGATGGGTACTTGGATCTGTAGAAATCGTGCGCGCGGATTCCACCCAGCATAGCCACGACGTACACTATGATCCTCCAATGGTTGAACCTCACGAAATTGACCACCGCCGACGCAGGAGAGAGACCAAGGTAACCCCATCCCACCCCAAATATAACGCTCCCTACAATCAGCGGCAGATCCTCTTCCGTCTTCATGGGCAAGAGCAGCTCTTCCGTGAAGAGAGGTGCCCTCATCGGCTGAATGCTAATTTGATAGGATATCAGGCTTGGCAGGACTGCGGCAATCAGTGCCACCAGCAAAGTAGCGTCCCAATAGCCTCGCCAATCTAGAAACCCTAAAATTTTCGATTGCTGACTCAGCCCCGCAACTGTCAACCCTAGCGCGAAGACTACCCCACCAATCACCGCCGTCACATTGAACGCCCTCTCCTCTTCGATCATCCCCCTTGTATGCGCCAGCCGCAGCCCCTCGAAAGCGGCTATGGCAGCAATCAGCAAGAGAGTCAGAAGCAGCACCCTTCCAAAGGACGGCCACACGACAGGTACCTTCTCTAGGTTACCCCTGTGGAAGATCGTGGCCGTCAGCGATCCCGACAGCCAGATTATCACGGTCGCGATACCCGACCGTCGGGACAACCGCGCCACTCCACTAATTGCGTGCCCGGTCGTACATCCCGATCCCGCCCTCGACCCGAATCCAATCAAGAACCCGCTGATCAGGTACACCCAAGCGCTGCCGGACTTGAACGACTCTACACTGACCACGCCGTTCCAGGCACTCAGCGCTCCCGCGATGAGCATCCCCCCCACAAACAGACTCTTCCAGGACATATCTTCTTCAAGCGATACGACCGAGGCGAGCATATTCCCAACACTTGTCGCCCTGCCATTCAAGACCAACATGTAATAGATTACCACCGCAATCAGGAAACCCCCATAACAAGCTTCCAAAGGGGTGAAAGCCTTCAGGCGATCCACCCCTCCCAGAACCCCCTTCAACATCGTGACCTCCATCTCCAACCACTCAAGCGAGCTGGGTAATTACCTCCTCCCTCGGCCAGTTTCACTCTCAAGTCCCCCGCACCGCTCAGTTGAGAGCGCCGCTGCGGCGTGACAAATCTTGCCCGATTTCAGATTCCAGCCCCCGGGCCTGCCTGATCCCAACCCTCAAATCCAAACCATCGATGGACCTCTCGTGCAGATACGGACACCGTCTCTTCCTCCCGCTAGGGTTTCTTCGTGCGCAGAGGTGACACGTGTCGCAGTTTTCTCCCTACCTTCCTAATCATCCGCTCTTCTTCATCATCGCCATTCGCTCCTCAACTTAGTTCGTCAGCAGACATCGAGGTCATCTTCCCCGAGTGCTCCCCTCTCTCCTCTCCGGAGAGCACACTCGATTGGCACTCGATCCCTCTGGACAATAGACAACTGCGAAGAGCCGGACGACACCATCGATTAGGACTCCATCCTTCTGCACTATAGACACTTACGAACTCCATCCCTCTGGACAATAGACACTTACGTAGAGCCATTCACATTCCATGGTGCAATGACGATAGCCAGTGCTGCGACAGGGCGCAGACCACGGGCGGGGTCCCACCACTGGAGGTTTTTCCTCATTTCTGGCGGTCGATTTTCACAATCTACTACCCGAAATGAAAAACACGCGCGCGCTTGTGGGACCCTGCCCCCCATGGTTGGCTGGAGCCCGCAACTGCACCGCCAGAAAGGGCTTCTTCCTTTTTTCCCCTTTTATTTTCTCTTTTCTTTTCCTTTCCACAACTCCATCCGGACCTACCTATTTTCAAGAGCCCAAAAAAAAAAAAAAAAAAAAAAAAAAAAACTTGTTTTCCAGAGGCCTAACTCACGTGGTAAGGGACGCAACTGGCATTCAGGAGGTCTTGGGTTCAATCCCCTATCCAGAGGCCTAACTCAGTTGGTAAGGCGCACAACTGGGATTCAGGAGGTCTTGAGTTCAATCCCCTATGCGCACCTACCTATTTTCAAAAACCAAAACTTGTATCCAGAGGCCTAACTCAGTTGGTAAGCCACACAAGTGGCATTCAGGAGGTCTTAGGTTCAATGCACATTTGCCTCATGTACATTCCTGGGCAAGTTTGGCGCCCGCCGGTTAGAGATATGCCGCTGATCCCCCCAAGTGGTATAAGCAGAGACTGTTGATGTTCATAGGGAGAGGAGACTAAAGGGGAGACACAGTGAGTCGCCCATCGAAGTTGGCCCCTGGCCTGTATCGCTCACCTGCCGTAGCAGGTATTGCTGGTGGCTGCAGCTCCCGCATGTTCACTCCTTGGAGACTTGAGCACGCATGTGGCTGGTAGGAGGTTCCTCACATTACTATAATAACAAAAAAAAGGCCTTAAATGCCGTCCTGTCCCTGAAATAGCCTTCGAAAAAAAAAAAAAAATGCATTTCCCTGAGCCTAAGGTCTGCAGCGCCGCATCCTGAGGAAAAGTTTGCCGCTCGTCAGGGGAGTGTTTTATACCCCTGAGTTTGCAGGCCGTCAGGGGAATATTTTATTGTCTACCGCGTGGGCGCGGGGAACGCAGCCCTAAGGTAGCCAAACCAATGAGACTAAGAGCTAACACAAGAGAGAGAGAGAGAGAGAGAGAGAGAGAGAGAGAGAGAGAGAGAGAGAGAGAGAGAGAGATTTGTTCCGTTTGCTGATGCGTGCACGTGCACGCGCGCGCGCGCGCGAGAGAGAGAGAGAGAAAGAGAGAGACTGAATGGCAAAATTAAATATGGGTCAAATTGCGGCCGCTGTCAGGCGGCCACAAGGGATGGGCCGCCTGAAAGCTGCGGCTTTGGGACCTAGTGTCAAAAACAAGTGTGTGTTTTGATGGTACTCTGGTTTCATGAGGCAACAAAAATTAGGGGAACTCAGGGCACCCTTGATTTTGTGCGCATTGAACCTTATGA